AGCAACAGCAGCAGCAGCACCGGTAGCACTAGCACTAGCAGCAGCAATCTTCATGTAGTAGCAGCAGTTGTTTTGAACAATAGCAGTCGTACAATTGCAGAATGACAGTCGACGTGTAGCGCAAGGAGTGGTAGCAACAGCAACAGCAGGAGTAATCGTCCTCATCCTCCTCATGAAATAAATAGTACGTAGCATCCGGAGTGATACTGATGATGACTACCATGATCATTAGTATGTTGTTAGCCGTAATCGTCGGAGAAGTACATAATAGTAGCAGCATTGCGATGAATATGGGAGACAGCCCAAAAGACAAAAAACGAGTGAACACGAACGAAAAATGTCGAACCCAAAAACTATCAAACAGTCACCGAAATCTGATCATGACAAGCACTACCTGCGCAATGAATACAGCAACAAAGCTAGCTTGGATGTTGCGAACAGTCACCATGCTCAATGTAACAATGTAGTCACAGCAAGCGCGCAAAATTGAATCGCTGATGGCATGGTACTTGTTGCTGATGCTGCCATTGAAATTCCTGCTGCTGCCATTGATGGCTATTGTAATATCGCTGAAAAATGACCATCCGAACGACACCCACGGTACTGAGAGCAAGAACAGAACCTATGAAAAAACATCGTCAAGTCGGCGGCATGCGCGCGTGAGCCGCAGCAGCACAGTTCGCATACCTCGCCGCCACATCACAGGTAATGAGAGAGAGAGAGAGAGAGCTATTTTGCAGCGATAACTTGGAGCTTGCAGCTACTGACTCCAGCGGAATCCACTTGCAGCTAGCGTCCGGCCTGCAGCACAAACTGCGCGATCATGGCTCTACAAAGCCCTAGCAAACCTCAGGCTCGAAACGGCTGCGTGGTGAGCTGATGACAGGGCCCTTCTTTCAAGCGATGTCCTAGTGGCTCCATTCGCTCTGCCCGCTTCCCGCAGGGCCTGTCATTCTGAAGAAATCAAACCATTCCATGCCGCTGTGCCTGGCATTTGCTTGAAGCCGTTCGTTGAGCATGAACATTGCTAGGCTAGCGCCCACTTCCTGGCAAGAGGATCCTGGTCAGCTCAGCTTATCCAGACATCAACATCCAACCTGCAAAGGTTCTAATGGGGACTTCACCTGACATGTACCCCCCTAATATGCCCGATATACTCAATATATCCTTTGTACCTCCATCCAGTATACCAGCTAGGAATGTAGGGGACCCATAGGGCCTCCGCCCCGGGGCCGCGCCCAACGCCCTCGAAATAGCCCCAAATACCTTAACTCAAACCAAAAAACGCCTTTTATTATCCAACTAAAGCCCCATCATTCCTAGAAATACTGATGACCCGGTTCCAATTCCCCTGGTAAACCGTGCGAATCAAGCCAATGCCAGGCCAATGGCTCAGAACCATAAAACTGCACGATTCAAGCGCAAGAGAATAGCAGGTAGTTTAGGTTGTTTTTTTATGGGACCTTTTTTAAGATTTAGGCTTCAGGATTCGCAGTTTAGAGGTTAGCGCGGAGAACGGTCAGTCAGGTCAACACAGCCATATGTCAAACACAGGCAAGACTCTTGAGTCAGGTGCGTCGCAACCATATCTTTGTGCAGGAACTCAGGCGACAGGCAATGTATGCAGGAAAGAAATGCCTTTCATGCTGCCTGATCAGGGATAGCCTGGGCAGCTTTGGGACTGGGCTCCCTGATAGTTACGACTAGTACATGAGACGAGTCCACGTGCAGTGGTTTCAGGAGACCCTAAAGATGTGTCGCGATCTTGGAAGGATACTAAGGGTGCCCATCAAAGTATTCGCAGAATGGTGGAGCGAAAATCTCATATCAGACTGTGGTCGCCAGATTCCATTCTGACAAATGGCCCTAAACAGGGGAACCCCAATATAGAGCCCCAAATACTATAATCCCTACAATGAGGACCCCCAAAACAGTACACCAAACTTTGGGCAACCTCCAAATGCTTATAGGGCGGCTGCTAGGCAAGGGCAGACTTTTCCTCTTTTTATCCCCCAGGGATACGCACAACCTTCTCAATCCGTTCTAACGCCTCTGGCTTGAGGCTTGGGGAGGCCGCCATGAGAAATGCCTGGCAAGCCATGGTTGTGATCCTCTATTCTCAGTACCATTACTACTTGCATTACTATTCTACAGTTACGATTACTACTACTACTACTACTACCACTACTACTACTACTACTACTACCACCTTTACTACTACGATTACCTTTACCATTACAATTACTATTACTGTGATTATTACTATTGCAATTGCTATATTACTATTGCTATTATTAGTAATTATTACCATTATTATTAGACAGCTGCCTCTGAGGACGCGCAGCTTCCAAACAAAACATGGAGATACTGATTTGAAATGCTTTTGGCCAAAGCACCTTCAGACACCCAAATAGTCACTGACATTACTATCTCGTGTGAGCTTATATTATATCCCAGCCTAAAACCCTAGTCTCATTCTGTAGTCCCATGCGTAGGAGTTTGGGGAGGGATATTCGAGCATTCCGATTTCTGCAAAAGATTCTTAAGAGCTGATATGGTAGTTTCCCAAAATGGTAGTTTCCAAAAATAAGGGGACCCCAATATAGACCCCAAAACGCTATAGTCCTTATTTAGGGACCTCCAAAATTGTACCCCCAATTTTGGGAAATCCTAAACCCTATATAAGCCCCATATAATCCAAGTTTCCATGTCATTTTCCATGTCCTTTTTTTTCCATCTGATTCTCGACGATTGGGGGAATGTCCCTAATTTGGGAAACCCCAAACCCTACGCCCTATATATCCCCTGTATAAACACCTTTAGAATCCAAGAAATCCCTCTTTAAAGGTACCCCCCTCCCCAACATTGAGAAACTCCTGACAGCCCTGGACCGGCCTTCCACTCCGCACGAACGCAGCCTGTCAGGGCGGCCACCTGCGAACCATGGTAAGGTTTGGTTTGGACTGCAAGGGGTCCGAAATATGTAGCAGTACTTACGACTTCTACACGTTGAAGCCCCGTAGGATTAGGAAGGGCTTAGGGTTTAGGGTTTATGGCTTTAGGGTTTAGGGTGCTGTAAGGGGGAGTGGGGGAGTGAACATAGGGACCATCTTTAGGGGTTTAGGGCTTAGGGGTTAGGATATACAGACCATTATAGGCATATACATATATATATATATGGAGATTATGCAGGGATCCACTCCCCCACTCTCTCTTAAGCGCCAGTAAGTTTACGGTTGGGCCCATAGGATTTGGCAGGTTTGCGGGGTCAGGGTTGAGGTGTGTCTGAGGGCGTTTTGATATGATATGGACCAACTCTGGACCTTTCGCGTATCAAGGACATGTTTTGAGCTGATTTCAAAAAGCCGAATAGAATACAAGATGGTGTACCCCGATAGGCCCCCTGGATTCATTTGAAGCTTTAAATGGTCATGTGCTCGCTGGTTTAGTTTCTAGTTTAGATGTATTTCCATGAGAGTGGGTTTGATGTGAAAGCTTGCCCACATTGATGTTCAGTGGCACAGATACTGAAGATTTGCAAGTCCTGCATTGTGCTGCGGAATCAAGCCGGAAATCCACTTCATCTTCAAACCTGTGCGCATGAGAGGCAGCCAGCCTCTCCATAGTTTTTCCATGCACCACTTCTTGCACCGTAATATGCAGTTCTAGATGCCGGCCTCGTCCTTGCATAGCTCCGGCCCAGCGTCAGCAGTTTTGCCTGGGCAATGGGCTTAACTTGCCTGTCTATGCCAGGCAAACTGTTCTTTCAAATCAACTGGTGGCACATTGCAATGAACCTGCGACCCAACCCTAGGCACTCAGCATCCACTGAGTGACCTAGAAAAGTGGAGGTCTTGCTTTTCCTTGGTTGAGCTGCAGCCGCTGTAGTCAGCGCTCCTGAGGCTAAGGTCGCTTTTTGCTTTGCAGGGCCTCCTCGAAGCATGAGAAAAATGTGTTTGCCATTTGGATTCACTCAGTCCTGACAATACTTGTTACTCTCCCCTTCTACACATGATTGTCTCAAGCACTGGACCCCTTGTGGATGCATGGTAGCTTATACTGTCCTTGGGGACAATCCCCATGCCCTTGACCAGTGTTGCGAGGATCACTCCGAGCGCCCAAGATCAGCCACATAGATCTAAGACAAAATCGGCGATCGCTATGTCTTGGCAGCGCTCAGTGGTGAGAGTCGCAGCATACAACCAAAATGTGCAACGCGTGACAGCCAAGCTTTCATGTGTAGAACACACTGCGAAGCCCATTTTCAGCCCCAGCTGAAGATGGACGTCCCTGTCGAACCCCAGATGCCCAGCAAAGCACTGGATGATCTACAACTCCCCAAAACTGCATTGCAACCTTCACTCGTCCAGAGCCTTTCCAAATCCCCCCCCCCCTGCAGTAGCCCAAGGCCACACCGACAACGCAGCCTAATTTCAAGATTTCCATGCCAGGTAAGAACTTTCAGACTGCCTAGCACTGGCCATTCTACAATGACTCAGCTCTCCAACCCCCCAAACTCCCCACAACCCTAGCCCCCGAACACCTCCGGAACCTAAACCCTAAACTTCCCAGGCCCCTAAACGCTAATAGTAGTTTCCAATTTATTTTCCATTATCCCAATATAACCCCAATATAAAATACCCTTCGCTTAAGCCTTTGAGACCCTGGCTGCTTCGGACGCAGGCCGCCAGTTTCGCGTACTCCTGGCCGCAGGCCTCTCTGCAGAAGCAGGTGACGTCCAAGCGCCCTGAGCGGCGGGGGCTGCGGCTGCAGGTGTGGGCAAATGGGGTTATATGGGGTTAGATGGGGTATAGTAAGCTAGCCCCCCACCAAAGAAAAGGTAAAGATACCAAATCCAAGATATTAGGTGCAAAGTAAGGCCCCTTTTGCTGGGGATATTGGTTACCCCGGGTAAGGTCTTCGCCGTGAAAATAAGTAGCAACCTCTGTGTTAAAAGGCAACGAGGGAACTTGAGGCACATTTCGCTTCCGGCCTTCTTTGCCTCGGCACTTCTGGAGCAATGCGAGTCGCTGTCGGGCTGTTCGGTTTTCGATGACCTCGCCAGGCGCACTGGGAGGAAAAGGGGCAATGGGATGCATCCAACCATTTCAAGCACGACCCTGATCTGTTGTACACGGGGCTTCCCAAACAAGGGACGCCTTTGGGAACTTTAGGGATTCCGACAAAACCAGGAACATGAGAAGATGGGGGTCCACCTTATGCATTCCTCACGTGTTTTATGTAAACTCCAGAAACTGCTTGATTCAAGGAGGGAGGGTTGGGCAAGTAATGCCAACTGTCCCAATCCGGGGTCATAAGTCACTTCTCCCCCTGGGTCCCTGTGCCACGGCTTGGACAAAAACCGGGTTGCTGTTAAGGAACTTAAATTAAGTTACTATATTGGGGAAACCCTATTATTTACTATATATACCCATTGTGGTAACTTCTGTATTCCCCCAGTTTCCATTTCATTTTCCATTTTATTTTCCATTTGATTCTCCATTATAGGCCATTATGGTAACCCTAAACCCTAAACCCTAAACCCATTATGGTAACTCAATTTAAGTTCCTTTACAGCAACCCAGAAAAGGCCCCCCTGGGGCTTTGGCGGCCCACAGCTGCTCGTCCGAGTACTCCCGAAGCACCGCACCCTGAACCATGCGGCTCACGAAGTGATGGAAGTCCTCCAGGCTATAGTCCCCCTTAAGTAGATAGAATATGGGGTATATGGGGATCTTCGTATAATATACCCAAAGCCATATTCTATCTACTTAAGGGGGACTATAAAATTGAAAATCTCGTCGCGGCAGTGGGCTTCGGGATTTAGGGTATGCGAGTTTTAGGGCATGAGGACTGTGAGCTTGATCAAACTTGAGCATGCAGTGCAATCTGACTTTGGAAGTTGACCCGTCAGGTAAAACTTTGCACCCAACTGATTCAAACGCCTTTCCCAACCCCTCAACCCCTGCATGGCATAGAGCGAGCTTCTGCCTACACCAAATAATAGACGAGAATAAAGACACCACAGAATAGAGCAATTCAGGAAACAGGATAATCATGATTGCCAACAGATCTGATCAGTTCGAAGCAGTCTTTAGGGTGCCCAAGCTATTTGGCTTGGGAACGATGGTTGGAGTTTGGAGCCTTCTAAGCAGAACCCTGCTGTCACAGCTCAGACCGAAGATTCGGCGCCTTGTCGCTGTCCAGCCACCCGGCTTTCCGCTGCTGAGTGGCGTCGGACATCTATTATCAGATTTGAGTGGCAGGCTCGCCACGCTTATCCGAGGCTTATCCACGCTACATGCAGTTGCTGGTTTGTTGCTCCGTCTGCCAGGTGGAAAGCCATGCGTTGTCTATGTTGTCTGCAATGAGCTTGGTGTCAACTTCTACTAGCCCGTTCAGATTCGGCTCAAGATGCTTCCTTGCTCTGCCGGAGAAGCGAAGTTGTAAGTGCCAGTCAAAAGAAATCCTGGACGCAGAAGAGGCATCATCCAGGTCTGCACGGGAGCTATGCTCTTTTCCAACCCTGCCAAGCTGCAAAGCTACAGTCGGCTACAGTGCTGCAAAAGCTTCTCTACAAAGATGGCTGGACAACAAGGAACTCCTCGCAAGGATCCTCAGAAGAGCAGTCCTGGCATGCAAGGTCACATTCAGCTGACCAATGGCTTCTGAGGTTCTGGGCCTCGGAACATGTGAAGATGACCACGCTGCCCCACTCCATTCCGAAGGCTATTGATTCTGGCGAGGGAACCTCAGCTGGCAAGCCCAGTCGATTTGGGAGAGGGCGGTGATATTGTCCCTGAAGAGGTCTAAGTAAAGAAGTCACACTTCAGGGCCGATGAGCACTTCTTCCTTGTTCAGAACTACCCCACAACCCTTCCCTCCGCTTGTATGAATATGCATCTCAGCAGCAGCGGCCGCCAACTCGGCTTGCAGGGTGGGCCTCTGGAAATTGGAGGTAAACACAACATGGCTACAAGTCGCTCTGTGCTCAAAATGGGGTCCTTTTTCTAAGGAGCGTTGACATTTTGTTCCTGCTAAAATGGAAAGCTGTCCTAGGCCCAGGCGCATTCCAAAGAGGAAGGCTAAAATCCAAACTGCGAAAGTTTCTTGAACCCCTACAGATGCACTCAAACTCCTGGACAGCTTCACTCCAAGAGAACTTGAACCCTGCATGCCATTAATGGTGATTTGGAAGCCCGTACTCCTACATCCTGGTCCTTTGCGCACATTTGAGCTATAGTCTAAACTCCGTAAAGGGGTTATGTAGGGGAGTATTATTGGGCTTATTGAGGGGGATACTAGGAGGTTGAACTATGGCTCATTTGCATCCTGACCTCTGCTATCCCAAGTCCTGTGCGAACTGTCCAGACTTCAGGTCCGGCTTATGTAGTACTCCAGCTGCTAGATGCTATGCTTCAGAGGGGACCCCCAAACACCTGATTCAGGCTGAATCAACCCCTCTACATCCGCAGAATTTGTGAACAAATTGCGACGCACTTGTGGGTAGCCCGAACCCTCCAACCCAAAACTCCCTAAATTGAATCCTAAACTGTTGTAGCCTTGAACCCCTAAAAACCCAACCCGAAAGCTCGCACACCCCATGATCCCCAAGCCCCTCAACCCCTAGTAGACCTTGTATACACCCTAAAATATCCCTAGCCCCCTCAAACCTCCTACTACACCCTAAACCCTCCCCAATCTCCCAAGATCCCTAAACCCCCAGTGAATTCCTGTAATGCAAAGCCTGAATAATCACCCATATCATATGAAAGTCTATTTGATGAACCCCAAGTAGATGAAGGAATCTAGGACCATAATATTGGTCCGTTGATAATTCGCCGTAGAAACCCCTACCCATTATTGAGGTGATGTCCTGAACCTCAAAAATCCCCATACACTCCTTTATAACCCCTAAAGGATCCCCATATAGCCCCAATGTAAAGGTTCCTACACTACGCCCTTGTTGCCATAATTACCATTACTACTATTGTCTGCTCCCTCCTAAGCACCAGCAAGTGTAGGGGTGAAATTCTTGCAGCTTGGGCCCCCTATTCTTACATATTTCCATTATTACTATTATTACTGTTATTACTGTTATTACTGTTGTTACTATTACTACTATTATTAGTATTCCTACTTTATTACCATTATTACTACTACTTCTAATATTCTTGTTGTTAGGTGATCTGAGGTTGCTGCAGCAGCTGAAGTTCGAAGCAGCGGCTGGCGCCTGAGCTGCAGATCTGTAGAGTTCTGTTTAGGTTTTGGGAGGGTTGCTTAAGGGTTAATGATTAGGGTTTAGGGCTATATGGGGATAATGAAAAAAAGAAGACTACTGTTTCGGGCTTGATGGTTATGTGAGCTATAGTGGAAACTCCTCAAAGCGGCTACATGGGGGCTTCTACTTATACGGGGGAGCATCATAGGGCTAATTGAAGGGTATACTAGGAGTTTAGAATTTAGCTCATGTAAGGTTTCAAGCCTTGTGAGGGTTAAAGGGCCTTGGCGGGGTTCAGGGGCCTAGGGTTTAAGGGGCAGGCTGTAGGTTTTGGGGGTATTCGGGCCAACTGATGTTGGGCGATTAGCTTTCGCGGCCATGGGCTGAAGATTCTGGGATCACCCAACCAGACTCTCCCTGTTTTGGTCAATCGTGTAGGGATGATATGAGCTATAGTCTAAACTCCTTAGTTTTTCCCCTTACCAGTCCCTGTAACTAATATTCCCCTATAGAACCCCCAATATATCCCCCCTCCAAGGAGTTTAGACTATAGCTCATATGAGACTCTTCAGGGAGAATCTGCGTTTGACAATTCGGGGAGGGTTGTTGCAGCTTCGAAACAGACAGTCATCAGGCACGCTGCATATCAATGGCAGCTACTGGCAATCTCAGCTATTCAACAAACATGACAAATATGGCGCTGGCTAATAGATTCTGAGTGCCATTGCTCTGTCTGAAGTGCGCATGTCCTCGGACCCCCGAACGTGTGGACATCAACTCTTCATCAAAGCCACCACATGCGCACACCGGCGGCTTGGAGGTTGGCGGAGCCTGAATTGCAGACACATGCTGTGGTAAACTTGCTGCTTCTTCTCTACTCAAGGACTTGAGGAGGAGACTTCAATGATTTAAAGCCTTTTGGATTGCTTAGGTTGTGCCTACCAAGATACTCCAGCTTGACAGTCGCGCGCGATCAGAACTTTGCATCCTCGCGAAGAAATCGGTAGACAGCCCAGGTAGAGCTCGACTTGAGGTGCCAACATGAAGCCAGAGTGGATCTCCGCCCCAGCAGTATCGTATCACCTCCCGCGCTACGCAAGATAGCATGGCAGCCAAGTACAACTGAGCACTCTTCTCTCTGGCTGCGGACAGCTGCTCTACACAACCAAATACAAGTATGGGCTGTAGATATCTATGAGAACATCATACTGATTCTCCACCTGTGAGCGCAGGGGCGCAGTGCCCAAACGGGCATCTGTTGAGGTTGTTAATCAATTCCAGTGCCTGCTGTGGGCTTCTGGCCAGGCGTGCTTGGAACCTGCCCACCGCAGATTCGGCACCCTTCTTTGAAGCAAACTGCTTATGAAGGAAACTTTACTGGGTTTCTGATAAGGAACTTAGCTTAAGTTACTATATTGGGAAAAACCATATTAAGTACAATATATACACGCATTATGGTAACTTAGTTTAAGTTCCTTATAACAGCAACCCAGCTTACCTGTTTTGATTTTCCGGGTTCCTATAGGATATAGGATGACATGGGAGCTCTGGATGGTGCAGGGGTTCATCAGGAATTAAGTTTAGAGGTTAGGCCTCAGGTCCGCTTGGTATCATGATTCGATTGCTCCTGCCTGGCTGCTTGTCTGTAGTACTACCAGAGTACCGATATCATATCAATGTCACCTGAACTGTTGCTTTGTTGCTCTACTAGAGCTAGTATACAAAAACAACAGTAGACCAACATTGTAGCAGTCCAATGTTCTGTGAAGTTTTGACGTCCCCTACCCTCCACGAAATCCTGTTTGAGGGTCTAGGGCTTGGGGCTTGCATGCCTCAATTTTGAAGTCATATGACCGACCTCGTATCATGCCAGCAGGGCCACAAAGCCAATTTGTGCAGTTCTTTAGTTTTCGCAAGTTTGGGGTTCAGGGTGTCAGGAGGCGGAGTGCCATTCCACGGGGGTTGTCGCTTTGGTTTCGTTGTGAGCACTTCTCCAAATGGGGCCTATAGTCGGTACACTTAGAATTAGGGCACCTGGGGGTCTTGTAACGCTAATCACTCCTACCCAAGGCATAGCCCAGCCCTGCAGAAGGACAGCATGCCAACGGCGCTTTCAGTCTGCACACGCACGGGGTTGCTCAACAAACCCAGCGCAGTTCCAGCGCAAAACGGAGAAGCGCCATAACGGAAAAGAGTATGGAATCAGCTATGAAATAATATCGCAGCTTCCATGCTCTTTTCCGTTATTGACTGCGCGCCCTTGAGCCGCAGCCCGCGCAACTAGACTCGGCGTACTGAGTTGTAATCTAGGTGATGAAAGAAATCCTAGACAGTCATCAGGTGCTGACTCAAAAGGTTACAAGCAGATCTTGGCAGTCACGCCGCACCCCATGGAAAATCATCCAAAACCTGGGACGTGGAGCCATGCCACGCAACACCTATCGGGGAAGAAGACTTCCACGAATTGCAGGTGAAACGGCCAGCTTCCCAAGCTCCGTCTGGGCGCTTTATGTTCAGGGCATAGGGATAATGGGGCTATATATTAGGGATATAACTACTGTAATAGGGATAATGGACACTACTATATTGTATATTGGGCTTATGTAGGGATAATGGAAAATAACATGGAAACTACTAGAGTTGGGAGTTGGGAGCCTATGGACTTCAGGGATTCTGAGGCAGTCGGCCCCTGTGTGTATGAGGAGGCCAGGGGAAAGACCTCGAAAAGAGCTCCAGCAGGAGCCTCGTCTCAGGCGTGGCACGTAGTTCCAAAAGAAATGAAAAGGCTAGACCGGGCGCAAGAAAGGCAACAAGGCAACTTGCAAAGGTTTATACCAGTCAAACAGCATGTATACGAACGAAAACATCACAAAGACTGCCTACCACTACGCCCTGAGCTCTAAGAGCTGCAGGGGCTCGTATAGGCCGCATCTCAGAACTTTGTCGTGAAGATGGGAACAAAGAGTTTCATCAAACCTGAGCGTCTGCGGATCTGGTCAGCTCAGTAAGATGTTCTCCGACT